AGCAGGAACCAACCCTCTCAGTCCTTGTTAAATGCAATAAAAATATGGTAAGAATGAATTTATAAATCATCAGCAGTAAACAACTTACTTATTATTAATGTTTTGGGAAAAAAAAAGAAAAAAAAAAAGTAAGATTAAAGCAGCCGCTCCTTTTGGCAGAAGGAATGAGCAGGGTGGAAACTAGACATCAGACTGCTTATTCAGAGTTTGATCCCAGATGTGGGAGGAGAAATCTTTCTGGAGTTCCTCATAACTCACTGAAATGAGGTAGGCTGGTCCTGCTTGGGAGCAACAAATGGATTAGATCAGCATGGGAGAACAGATAGATAAGGAGAAGGACCTAAATGACTGTGGTTTCAAAGAAGCCAGAGAAAAGAAATGTGTTGCAGGGAAAGATTAATGCATCAAAAAGTAGGAAATATAATTGGTTTGTGAAATGTTTCTCTGAACACTGTCAGTTGTTATAAAGAGTGTTTTGAAATACAACAATATGGGAACGTTCATCAGGTATGTATTGGCGTTACTGGTACAGATCTTCAGTGTATTATGAGCTCTGCTGTAGCTTTTAATATAAGAACTTCATCAAATCACTTAATTATATGTTCAGTGTTGCCTTATGTAGAAGAAGCTCTTTTTCTAGCTCTTTAATATTCATTTGGCCATATTAACCCCTGAGTGTTTTCAGAACATTTTTAAATTCTTGTAAGGTGCTAGAAAAACTCAGAGGAGCTTCAGCAGAAAACTATTTTGAATAAAATATCTGTGTGTGTGTACAAATATTCTGATTGTTTTGTTGCTTTTCTGTCTTTACAGATACATTTCATCAGTTCACGAATGGAAGTTTAAGAGACTTTATATAAAATATACGTGAAAATGGAAACTTCATCTTTGCTATCATCCTTACATGATGAATGCAGATCAGACAACTATATTGAACCTCATTACAAGGAATGGTACCGAATAGCTATTGATGCTCTGATTGAAGGAGGTTTAGATGCCTACAAAGAATTTCTTTCCAAAGAGAGATGCTCAGAGTTCCTAGCAGATGAAGAAATTGATTATATTTTGAACAATGTTCACAAACTTCCCCAAAACACAATTTATTCCTCTAACCATGCTATTGATGACACCTCTTCCTCGGGAACCTACTGGCCTATTGAATCAGATGTTGAAGCTCCAAATCTTGACTTAGGTTGGCCCTACCTGATGCCTGGAATTTCTGGTGGCACGAATATTGATCTGCTTTTTCATCCACCACGAGCACAGCCTTACACCATAAAGGAAACTATTCGGAAGATGATACGAGATGCAAGGAAGGTAAACATGAAAAATATTACTGAAAAAAAAAAAGTGGCAATAATAATCTGGTTGGTGTTTTACTACAGGCTTTTTTTTTTTTTTTCCTTCTGTTAGGAGAAAACAGTCTGGTTGCTAACAATTCAAACAGAAAGGTTTTCCCAGGCTGAGATTGGTCCCTTGGTATCACAAGCACCAATGTTGTTAACCGTATTTACAAGGCATCAGGGATTAATTGGAGGGATTAATGAAACATAATTACCATTTTACTGTAATGCTGACCAGTCCTTGAGAAATTTGTAGATAATCGGCACACCTTTTCTCTGACCTCAGTTGCATATGCCTCAAGTGATATAATTCTGTCTAACTTCAGGGTATATTCTAAGGTTTCTCTTGCATCAGTGGGAACGTGCATCAGTTTGGCATGGGAGCCAATTGTTGCAAGCAAATAGCACCTTGGTGTACGTCCGGCTCATGTACCTTGAGAGTCTCAAGTTTTCTGATTTTGCATGGCAGCTGTCCATGCAGAAATTAGGCAAAAATTACTAAAGAGAGCTCAGAAGAAAAAAATGAGGTTTCAGCAGCAAGGGAATAGATTTTAGTTGAGTACTTTACCTTCATTTATGACTAATGACTTATTTATAAGAAATGTGGACACTTCTCCAAATGTACTTGTCTCCACTTACGGGCACTTGCATCTTGAGTTGCCTAAGGTACACCCACCTTACACCTTGGTGACAGGGTGCGGAATGTACAACCCCTCCGTTGCTTCCCAGTGCCAAGTTAAAAAAACCACGAAACCAAAAGATGTATTAGTATGCAGTTCTGTTTAACCCTGAGCCACATTACCTCTTCAAACAGATGTGACAAGGTTTCAGAAGTATTCCTAGCAAGTATGTCATGCTGTCCTTGCATTCCTTGGAAATAAATTGGGTTCTTTGTGACTTTGTGGGCTTTAAATTGATGGGACAGGCTGTAGCTCGAGTGCATCCATGAACACTTCAGTGGCTGAAATATGCGTGTAAACGTGTGCACTAGAAATGAACTGAAAAGGGTGGGGAAGGAAAGGACAATGTCTTTTTACAGTGTCTGTCCTCTATTTAGATAAAGCATATAACTTGTTGCCATAATAGGGTTATCACTAGGCCTTTTATCCTGCAGTTTACAGTCTAGAATCACTGTATGTTCAAGGAAGAGGAGAATTAATTACTTCTCCCCCTCTTTGTCCCTTTCAGAATGGGATTTGGTATTTTCTGCTTTTGTATGTAGTGAGGCTTGACTGTGACTTGCCCAAGATTCTCTCTGATCATGGTCAACTGCATCTCCTGAACTACCAATGTATCCACTGGAAGGGAAACTACAAAAACACAGTTAACTTTATTGCTGAGAGGAGTTCAGTTTTGCTACAAGGTTGTGAAATGCCATGATGAAAGGCAGTTTGCAGTCAGTTGCCACGCTTTTTGTGCCTAGCTGGCTAGCTACATGCAGTCCAGTAACTTTCTGACAGCTCTCTTACCTGGTGGTGCTGCCTTGTAAAATGCCATTTTAAGGAGTATGCCTCCTCTGAATGCAGCTGTGGAGAAAAGTTAGGAGTGATTCTTACATCTCTTTGGAAGAGGGTTGAGTGCATAGCCCCCAACATAAAAAAGACCTGGACCTGTTGGAGAGAGTCCAGGGGAGGGCCACGAAATTGGTCAGAGGGCTGGAGCACCTCCCCTATGAGGACAGACTGAGAGAGTTGGGGTTGTTCAGCCTGGAGAAGAGAAGGCTTCGAGGAGACTTAACAGCAGCCTTCCAGTACCTGAAGGGGGCTACAGGAGAGATGGGGAGGGATTCTTTTATCAGGGAGTGTAGTGAGAGGACAAGGGGTAATGGGTATAAGCTGAAAAAGGGTAGATTTAGACAAGACATTAGGAAGAAATTGTTTCACTGTGAGGGTGGTGAGACACTGGAACAGGTTGCCCAGAGAAGCTGTGGATGCCCCATCCCTGGAGGGGTTCAAGGCCAGGCTGGATGAGGCTTTGAGCAACCTGGGCTAGTGAAGGGTGTCCCTGCCCATGGCAGGGGGTTGGAACTTCATGATCTTTAAGGTCCTTTCCGACCCAAAACATTCTGTGATTCTATGTTTCTATAGTGGCTCTCCGATGTACTTGTGGCACTTCCACTTTCTAAAGAGGATGTTATGTATGTGTCGCTGTCAAACCTGACAGCTGAGAGGTTTGTTTAGTTGATCAGCACAACCTCAACAGCAACAACCATAACACTTTTGATATGATGATAAGGGTTGGTCGCTTCAGGAAGCAGCAATTAAATCTAAAAGACATGGTGTTGTTCAGCCTCTTCTGTCAGCAGATACATAGAAAAGTTTAAAGGATTTCTAAGTAAGGTAAACTAAGGTATTTAAAACATGCTTACAGCATGCAGAGACTGTGAAGAGGCTAACCTACTTCTTCTGAGCCACTTATAAAAATGTAGTTACATTAAACAGGGTTCTTTGCCATGTGGCAGTGATTGGTAGTCGTATGAGAATATTCAAAGGAAATTAGAAAAGGTTACACATGAAAAACAGAAACCTGTAAAGAGTAGACAAGTTCTTCAGCAAATCACATTAAACCAGTACAGCTCTAAGAAAAGCCTATGGGAATTTTAACAAACTTATGTGGGAAAATAAACAGACTGTTGGAGGTGGGCATGTTCATACACCAAAATTTAAGCACCAAACTGAGTTCAGGCACTGATTTCCCTTGGCTGCCTGAACCCTCAGTGCAGTGGGAAACCATTTGCTACCAGGGCAAGGCAGAGAATGTTTCTGCGCTGATTCACCCCAGGAAGGAACCCATTTGATATGTATTTATATGTATGTAGTATCCCAAAAATTCATGAAGGAGATTGAGTAAGTTGAAACCTACATTCTTTTGATTATTTGGAGATATATGAGGATAAGGTGACGTTATTAATGGGCTTACTCTTGACCTCTTTCATGCTTGATGCATCACAGTGTCACTCCTTAAAATGATCATTACATATGCTAATTTTGACCTTAAGAAGAGGTGTTGTAAACAACATAAAGCAACTTGCTTGCTGACAGTGATTTCTCCTGACTAAAAAGGAAGATCATTTGTAAGGGTATGCTACACTAGACTAAAAACACTGGCTATAAAAAAGTGTCGTAATAAAATGTGGTCGCCTACGTGTTTCTTAAATCCATAATCTGCATAAAAATTATGCAGATCACCTTCATGGTAAGTATAATAATGGAGTTTTTCTTATCAATCCTAGAAAAATGAGCTAACCATTTAAGGAGATGAATCCATGCTTGTGGTATCTGTTTCTTAACTTATATTAGAGCAGGGGAACTGTATCATACGTAGGATGGCATTACATTGCAGTCTCTACTACAGCAGTTCTGACTGCACGCCTATCCCACAGAGGAGTGCTCACGTAGGTCAAACCTAAACAAGTCAACAAAATGGGTTTGCTCTTGGTGTAACTAGACCTCATCTCCAAATGATACAGCTTGCCAGCCACCCTCCTCTGTCAACATAACCTGTGTTCATACAAGGAGGCTGTTTGGCGTGACTGTGTCAACCGGGGAGACATGAATCTTTTTCAGATGTTTATATAACCATGTGGGGAGAAAGCACTGCAAAGTCTGTCTGACCTTAATGATGGATGAACTTTTTCAAACAAGCCAGTAGCCTTATTTCTCGTGTGTTTTGGAGGCTTCTACCTTTAATAATTGTCAGGTTTCTGGCTTCTCTGAAGCTTGAGGTGCTCCTACAGCCTGACTCATCCTGGCTGGGCTGTCTGAACCACAACTGATAATGTTCAGTTTTCCCTGAGAAGATTATTCATCTGGGAAATGGTATCAAGATGATTACTCATCTTGTGTCAGGTTAATGTGAAACTTCCTTCTCTTACTGTAAAGTAACACGGCGACTTCAGTAATGAAGTGTCCTCTTGCCATATGACTTTTCATAGGAGTGGCCTCAAAACCATCAGTTATGAAGCTTGCACCTGTGTGCAAGAAGCAGCTTGTACTTTCTTCTCAGGCGTGATTGACAGAGTGAGGCAACAGGGAAGGGACAGGACAGAGCACCAAAGGGTCCTTCTGGCAGTGTGTTTTTCTTCATTAACTGGATTCCTCTCTCCACCACCCAGACATTCCTACATAGTTTTAGAGAGAATGCATAGCTCTGAGTCTTTTAGTTTGATAGCCAAATAAGGATCAACTCTTCCTGGAGAGAATTCAAACCTGTTTTTTAAAGAACCATGTTGTTTAGACAACCCAAGGATTGCCGGTTTGCAGCACAAGCCAGAAAACTCTGAAAGACTTCCCTGACATACTTTAGGGAATTTCTGGTGGAATGTAAGAAGCTGAACAGTATGATAAATATGCAATACTTTTCACTCATTTTATTTTATTAAAATACACTAGCGGTCTTAAACCTTGGTTCACAAAATCAGTGATAGTTATGTGACTTTTTAACATCTTAGTTGTTTTTAGAAGCTTAACTAGAAATTTAGGTGGTTAGTGTGTTATCATTTTGGAAACTCAAAAAAAGTTGTTTTTGCTGAATTACTCACAATTGGGCTTTTTAATATGAGGAGTGGTTGCAAAGCTTGGACCATTGGGAAATAATTAAGTTACAATGTAAATGAGTGTTAACATGTTATTAAGTCTTGCTGGACTCACTGTAGGTATACCTTTAGGAAGTCAAAAAGGGCTTTCTTTGAATTCTCGTGAGAGAGAGAGTTATGTACAAAATCTGATGCCTGTGTTGTCTTCTAGAGCAGTGGGCCTAGCTAAATAAACAAAAACAGTTGAGTCATTTTGCAGTCATATAAACAAAGAAAAATATTTTCTTCTGGTTTTGTTTGTTTGTTTTGTTTCATTTCAGGCAACAGAGGTTGTATCTTACAGAAAAAATGATTCATCACTATTGATCTGATTTGATCATGTGTATTGTCCAGTAATAATGATCTAGTACTGGCTACATTCTAGTAGGAAAGAAAATCAG